ATATTGACCAGGCATTATCAGCTGCGGTATGAATTAATCCTAGTTATTTTACTCTATTTGATGTCTAATGAATTAAATTATATTCTTGTCCTTTCAGATGCTTGTCAAGAATTGAATTTAGACTTGGATGAAATCTGGACAAGAAATAGTACAATAACCATATTTATCAAGGGGTAGTCGGAGTGTAAAAAAGCATTTTTAACAATATTCTTAGCATCAAACTTATTACTATTTATAGATTTAGTTGAAAATAGCTAAATATTGGTTTCATTGTACTTATTTTCCATTCAGATTTCAATAAAGTTAAACTGGCCTGAAGTTTTTGTGTTCACTTGAGTGCGCAACACAGGAAATCCAGCGATTGTACACAGGATTGTACAACATGGCGACAAGATGCGTCCTTGATCACCAAAACAAAATACAAATTTTGCAATGAATATCGAAGTAGTAGCGCGAATACGCTCTCCAAGTAGAGGGGAAATTGCTTCTCTAAACGTCTCAGGAACTCGAATCGAAACATCCAGTCGGATTGGACATATTTTCGATGCAGTTTACAAGCCCCATGTTCTAACTTACGATATTTACAAAGATTCCTTTTCATCCCTTGTCGACTTCTTCATCGCAGGATATAATGTGTGTTAGAGCATGGGTTTCCTGTGTGAAATCTTGTCGTATCATCTTCTTTCGCGAACGCTTTCCGAACATGGTCGACAAAATTCCCGAAGCTCTACCTCCTTTTCCTCATTTTGGCACGATAGTCATACACGAAGGGCAAGAGCCTGAACTATGGAATTCCAGAGCTGTAGTCCCGCCAATTTCTATGTCTACTACATTCAAGCAAGACGGACCTGGCCAGCATAGGGTAAGATCAACAAATACMTTGTCAGGATCATGACGTGTCGCGTTCTAGGGGTCAGGTCAAGTAAGTTTACCTGGGACTGTTGGAGCGGTGATTTTATTAAAAACGTCGATCTCTTTCAGAGGGGGCCGTAAGCTTATATTTTTTCAAAGGATATCTTAAACGGGGGATTTATGAATCCCCTTCTTCTCCCACAAAATCAACACTTGACCTTTTATCGAGYTTTTCCCGCCAAACGAAGTTAAGCTTAATTGCCAGGTTTTTTTTATTTTTATTTTTTATTTTTATATACTTTTCTTCCGTCTATTTCTTATAAGTTAATATATATTTTTTCTATTTCCTATTAATCATTTATCTTTCTATGAAAAGATATGATTCATATGTTTTGTTCTAATTCTCATCTTTCTCCATCCATTCCTTTAAGCTTTTATACACTTTTATCCATGCATCCACTCATATATTTTCGGCTCATTTTCATCCATTTATCTATTCCCATATTGCCTCATTTATCGATAAAGATCTTGGAAAAAACGTTTTATAAAGTGATGTATTATACACAACCAGTCCCTGGGGTTTGCATAAATTCTTTGTAAAGGCAGCAATCTCCATGGATTGGTAATATGGAAATCAACTTTGTTTATTTTGAAATTAGTATGTCCCGTCAAGTAATGAGATAATTTTATGATTTTTAGTGCATTTTGCAATGATTTGTTAATTAACTTTTTTTTTATAGCTTTTTAATCTCAAATATCCCAGTTATGTATAGAGCAGAGCCACTTGAACCATGAAATAGAAACTAAATACATAGTTACTAATAGGCACTATTTAGACAGTCCCACTGAACCAGAACATTACAAAGAGATTACTTTGATTGTTAAAGTGGTCTCTTGGGTATTGCTTATTGGATCAAATCAACTGTTCTGGTTCAGTGCTAACGACTATTAGGAACTAATAGTGCCTATTAGTTTAGTACTTTTTAGTTCTTATTTCATGGTTCATGTGACTCTGCTTTATAATAATGTATAAAGTAATTATTTGTCATTTTTATTATTATAATATTAATTATTGAATATTATTAACTATTATTTATCATTGTTACTATTTACATCAATTATATAAAGTAATCAGTCCAAATCTCCACTATATATAACCTCAATAAATTATAACAGGGTTTTGAGTATTCAAGATCAGGAAATCCAACCAGACAATGCTTTGAAAAATGTGTTGCAGGTCTGGAAGGAGCCAAATATGGTAAATAAAACTTTCATAATATCAAGATTGCAAACCCCTGAAAGTGTAATACCATGATTTAGTAATTATTTGATTATTTGATCAATTTTTTTCAATTGAAGCTTTTGCAACATCTTCTGGCCAGGCTGCAACCATGCTCATTGCACATTTGATGAAGAGCGGCAACCACATTGCTTGTGTTGATAATGTTTATGGAGGTGAAAAAAATAAAAAAAATTATTACCTTTTCTTTCCTCACTCTTTTCACTCATTATTTTCTTCCTTCTCATCCTATTAACAATTTGATCTTCCTTAATATATACATGTACATAACATTACCCATATTTATCATTATATCTAATTCGTTCATTCACCCTTTCATCTATCCAATATTCATTAAATTATTTGTTTTCCATTCATTTTGCATCCGTTTATTCAACGCATAAATCCACACATAATACACTTTCTTTCATTTTTYATTCCTTTAATATATTTTTGTATTATAAGCTATAATCATAGTACGCGCTATCTGATTAGTCAAATGTTACCGGTAARCACACGGATGAGAAAATGCTATGATGTATAAGCAAACTAAACAAAATATTTTTCGTTGTGTTCCTGGTGAAATAAACCACGCCTCCGACTCGAGGTTTTTTGCACCTTTTTTCATGTTCTGCCAACATCCCGCATGGTTTATTTCACCAGGAACGCACGAAAATGTGTTGTGTATTGCTTAATTAAGTGCACTTTTTTATATATAAATTTGTATAATTTTCTACATGTTGTACTTCCACCTGAATTTGCAAATGATAACAAAAACGATTGTGCTTTTAGGAATATACCGTTATTTCAGCAGAGTAATGRCAAGCTCTATGGGAATAGAAGTAACCTTCARTGACTTCACWRACCTGGAAAACGTGAAAAAAGCAATAAAGCCAAATACTAAGGTGAAGACAAACTTTCCAYTTTMATTTWMTTGAACATTCATTCTTTGTATCCTTTCTCTCATTCATTCAATGTTCATTTTTCTATTCAGTARCCCTCTGATAAAACTAATCTTTACTTAATTTTTGTTTAATCTGAATTTGCACCTTTTTTCTCCCCTTCAGTTTGTTTGGATAGAGACGCCAACCAACCCCCTATTGAAGCTGATCAACATCAAGGCAGTTGCAGAAATTGTCCATCAACATGAGGTAATTTCTTGAGATAAGTGATATATAATTATATAACTACTTTAAATCTACTTGCTGTATCATTCTGATATAATATCATTCAATGATTTTATATTTGACTTTTATCAGGGTGTTTTATTGGTTGTGGACAACACATTTTCATCTTCATATTTCCAGGTAGAATCGATAAATAAACGAGTCTRTCATTTACTCAGTTAAATAGTGTCATAAATATTATGTGCCAGACAGTTGATTGCTATGACTTGCTTTTGTTAATTTTCATTCCAGAGGCCACTGTCCCTTGGAGCCGATATTGTAATGCACTCTGTTACAAAATACATGAATGGTAAACTCCTCCATATAATTAATAATATTATTCTGACAACCAAAAAATAATAAACCAAGCTGTGATACCCAATCATACAACACTGTTATGTTCATTTTCATATGTCACCAGGGCATACTGATGTACTGATGGGAGTCGTTGCTACTAGCAATGATCAAATTGCAGAGACATTRAGATTTCTTCAAAATGGTATTAATAATGTCCCAGCTATAATTTGGGAGTTATAATGAGAGTTATAAAGTTACAGTATTGTTTTCCCCWCTTTTAGCTGTCGGTCCTGTGCCGAGCCCATTTGACTGCTATCTGGCCAATCGTGGCCTCAAAACATTACACGTACGAATGAAGCAGCATGGTGCTAATGCTTTTGCTGTTGCTAAGTTCTTGGAGAAAGATAACAGATGTTTGAAGGTTCTGTACCCAGGTATGCCGACTCCATTCATTTATGATTTCATAAATCCATTCATACTTCACCTGTCCATTCATAAATTCTTCCTTCATTTCCCAATCTCTCTTGCATTGTTTTTTGTTTGTGTGTGTGTGTGTGTTTTTTGTTCATTTGTTTTTTCATTCACAAATTCATCTACAGTTGTATTAGGGTGTTGATTAATAAATTGCCATATTCAAAGGACTTGAGTCCCATCCACAGCATGATTTAGCCAAACAGCAAATGACAGGCTTTGGAGGAATGGTAACATTTTACATTAAAGGTGGTCTTGCTCAGGCACAAGAATTCCTCAAGAAAGTCAAGGTAGGACCTCTTCATGTATCTTTGAGGCTGTTTACTTGATCTCGAGTCCAAGAGAAATCTGATGTCAGTCCATTATGAAAAGTTAAGATTCTGATGAGAAAATCTTTTGTGTATAAGTACTGCAAATGTGGCTGCCATTTGTCAATCATGCCATTAGAACTTAGTGGTAGTGTGGGATTCAATCTTTGATATAGATAACTGTATTCTCCTGTAGTCCTCCAGCTGATGGTCAGTTATTTRTAATTTATTTTTATCAATCAGGTTTTTACCCTTGCTGGAAGTCTTGGTGGATTTGAGAGTCTTTGTTGCCTACCGTAAGTTTATAATGAACTTGTCAGACAATGAGAATATCACTGAAAGAGATCTTTCTGACCAAAACTTATACACTATAACACTGATTCCTTTTTATCCGAGGTCTGTCATGACACACACTTCTGTGCCACCAGATCAGAGAGAAGCCCTAGGAATCTCTGATAACATGGTAAAAATACTTTCTTGGATGTCCCTATAATTTTATTTGTAAAAAATAACTATAAAATATGTTTATCTAGCTTCCATAATAGTTGTGGGTCCAGGGGGTGCACCAGATGCACACCTCCCACCC